ACATTTCAAGTCTCCCAAACTTTTTATCTTCTGTATTTCTGCAGTAGTACTAGAAGCTTCTTTACTATGATGCTGCTAAATAGGGGAACAGGCTTTCCAAACTAATTTCAGAGGTAATCTATCTTCATCTACAAACTCACTTAGATAAATTGGTTACATTGGTCTTAAGAAACAATGTATCTGGGACTGCCAAAGAAGAAAATGCTTCCTGTCTTGGTACTTTCTGGATGCTATAAGAAAATGTCACACACTGGGTAGCTTATAAACAACAGAAATTTATTTCTCACAATTCTAAAGGTTGGGAAGACCAAGTTCAAGGCCCTGCCTGGCAGATACAGAGTCTGGTGAAGGCCCTATTCATAGATGGTGCCTTCTTACTGTGCCCTCACATAATAGAAGCTCCTAGGCCTCTTTTACAAGAGAACTAAGCCCATTCATAAGGGCTCCATCCTTATTATTTAATTACTTCCCAAAGTCCCCGCCTCCTAATACCATCATTTTAGGGAATAGGATTTCAACATATAGATTTTGAAAGAACACAAACATTCAGAGGATAGCACTTCCCAAATGATATAATCACGGATGAATCAGGATTCGATTGCTCTTTCTGCTCAAAGATGCCCAAAATGCATTAATAAAGGCACTTACTCAGACTTTCTGCCCTTACATTAAAATCCAAGTGTAACAGGGAAAGGTACAGTCATGACATTAATTCACATAAAGGCAAGAATGGTGGACAACTAGTAAATTCTTTACTGTAGATTTCAACAGATTGATGGACAAGTTTATCTTAGTAACTCTTTTAACTGAAGAGAAATAAGGTAACAGAGAATAAAAACCAAAATAGAAACAGTTTTGAAAAAAAGGCAAACTGGAATCAGTGAATAAAAACTGTGCTTTGTCATACAAAATCACAGAACATTGGGAATTTATAAGGACTTTTTAAAAAATTATGTTTTCAACATAAACTATATAATCTGCATATTGAAAACATACTATGTAAACAAAAATAAATGGATATATACAGATACATGGCTAAATTATAAAAACTACTATGCAACTGATTCTTGATATTCATAGTAGTTGCAGTGTATAAAGTTGCTGAGAATACCGAATCAGCAAATCCTGATTCATTGTTCCCAGGGTTAAGGCTACTGTGAGATTTAGTCACAACAGTTTGTCAGTCAATCAGTACATAATCTTGTTTACATGCGTTTCTGTTTAAAGACACATTGATACACACTGTTCATTTTCATTGACACTGAACTAACACCCGACAGCACTATGACATTCATAATGCCTGAACTTAAGCTTCTCGAACACACCGACCTTCTCAGTAATGCACATCACAGCTGGTGATGTGCACATCAGATGACCTAAAATACTGCTCCGAACATGTCTGAAAGTGACCCAGAAAGCATCACAAGCATTGATCTTAGGCTTACAAACATTTTAGTAAGTAGAAAAATTTGCAAATAAAACCAGAATCAAGTGTACTTGTATTCTGGTGCTAGTTTAGCCTCTCACTTCTGTGATCCTAGGTTAAGGTCATAAGCTCAGTTGCCTTATTTAGAAGTTTTGGGTCTTATATTCAGACACCTGTAAATTCTTGGCACTTGTGAATTTCTTGGAATCCAGGATCACTAGATCCAGCCATGCAACATATCAGGCCCTCCATCATCTAAATCTTTCTTACTTGTCCAGGATTGTTTCCCTCTACGTGGAAACTTACATGCCTTTAATAAAGAAAGGATATATTAATTTCATTTAGTGACCATCACATACTAACATATTATACACCCTCCCATTCATCTCTGCCATTATCAAATATTAGCCTTTCAGACACTGGTCCTGGAGGTATAGTAATCAGCAGCATAGGTAAGGTCCCAATGCCTCGCTATTCATATTTTGGTGAGAGAGACATGTCAACAAACGAGATTCATAGAGTAAACTCCAGTAACTGTAAGGACAAAAACTAAAATAAGGCAGTGACTAAAATAAGATCGTTGTAAGTAAGAAAATATTGTAAATATTGCTGTCAGGAAGGACTTTTTTAGTAGGTGATAATTAAGCAGAGGTGCAAATGAAGTAAGAGAGAAAGAAAAGCCAACATCACGAAGCTGAGGAGCATCAAGGCAAATACTTGGACATGGGAGGTGCCCTTCATGTTTCTGAGGAAGAGAGAGATGGACAGAGGAACTGAAATGGGAGGGGCAAGGAGACTGGGGTCAGATCTCCGCATACCTCTGTCCACATCACTGAGTCTATTTTAATGTGATGGAACCCCTTGGAAAGTTGTGAGCAGAGCAGTGTCACGACCTAACATATACCGTGAGTGCACCACGCCAGCTGCCTTATAGGGCAGAATTAGTGACCTGAGACTCTCACCAAGAGTTCCAGCGAAGTGGCAGTGCTGGGAGCAGTGCAGTGTGCAGCCCTTGTGCATGGGCAGATTTCAAAGACAAAGCAACTGGAAGCATGCTGATGGATGGGCTGCAGGGTTTCACAGAAAAAAGCAGAATTGGAGTGTTCCTGGGGTAGATGGTGGCAGAAAGCACTGAAACAATGCTGAAATAAATTGAAGAGTGCGTCTAGTGAGTGAGACAAAGTAATTAAGAGTTTGTGTTTGGCCATTTAATGCCAAGAAACCCACAGATATCAAAATATGCCCAGCATGTAAATAAAGGAGCAGATACATAAGGAAATAAAGGGAAATAAAGAAGGGACAGGAAAATAGAGATAATAAATAAAATGTACTGCCAGTTGTACCATGACATGATTTTCCCCATTCCAAAACATTCACTCAATTGCCAAGTATTTATTAAGTGAGTGCTATGTGCCAGGCATGGTTCTAAGTGCCTGAGATGCAAATTCTATTTGTGCTTAAACTATCCTATTTTTGAAGAATAACACTATTACTATATCGATACATCAAAAAAAATAAAACTGCAAGCCAACTAAGTCAGCAATTTCATGTACCTCAGTTTTTAGATTCGTGGAAAGAAAGTATTTGCTGGTATAACTTCTGTACCAGAATTCTGAGGAAGTCCACAAAACACTGAATTACATACTAAAGGCAATTAATCTCTTAATTCTTGAAATATCACAAAACACAGGTAGAATAGCCATTGGACAGATAATTATTCTATGAGTCAGATGTTTAGTCTATATTATGAGTGAAGTTTTTCCAACCAATTTTAGTCACTGTTAACAATAAATGGATCTATTTGAACCGTATTTGCAATGTTATTGGTCCACAGAACAACAAAGTTCAACTGTAAATTAAATAAATTCAGAACCAAGGTTTCTAAAAATACAAAAATCAGAGCATAAATGGACAACATCGTGATCAAAGCAGAATACAAGGGGCGGGGCAAAAAACCCCAAAATTTATTTATAAAAAAATTGTATTTATTCTTGCATGTTTAACCTTCAGTTACCTTCAAAGTACTTTTTGTTTGATGCAATACACCTATTGAGATGATTTTTCCACTGCTCAAAACAGTTTTTGAACTTGTCAATTTTGGTGTCTTAGTGCTTCTGCTATTTTTTGTTCACCTCTTCCAACATTGGCAAAATGTTTCCCTTTGAGGACTTTCTCATCCAGGGAAACAAACAAACAAAAAGTAACCTGGGAAGAGATGGCGTGAATAGGGAGAGTGGGGCATAGGGATCATGCTGTTTTTGGTCAAAAACTGCTGAACACTCAGTGCAGTGTAGGCAGGTGTGCTTGTAAATCACCCACCATGAAATGGGCAAATGCGTTGAAAGAATCTCCAAAAAAATTCACTGAAACAGAATGCAGCCCCTCACAACAATGCAAGCTGGTACACTGGTGCTGATAGATTCCTAGAACACTTATCTAGCAGGGCAAGCCTGTACTACAAGGGGTCCACTCTCCAAAAAATAATTCCGGTTTATTTTGGGTCCCGTGTGTGTGTGTATGTTTGTGTGTGTGTTTCATAAAAATAAGAACTATTTCTGGGAAGCTAAATGGTATGTGCAAGGGGACAGAGACAACTGCTGTATAAATGGAGTCCCCAGGTCTGAGGGGAGGCTGTAAAGTTCTCCAGGTTACTGGCAATGCCTGAGACCATCAGTTTGCTCCTGCTGTGGATGCAGAGACTCCACCATGGTCACTGCCCTCGCAGCAGGTTCAACCTGATCGCTTAGATAGTGAGTCAATCCTACTCAGGAAGACACAAGCTCCAGTCACGGATTTACATTTCTAACCCTTGCCGGCCTATCACCACACTCTCAGTAGTCCCTCCCACCTCACCTCTGGCTCTCTAAACCGACTCTTTGATTTAAACATACTCTGGAGTTCCTGACAAATTTTCCCATGTCTTGGCCTCTAGTCCCTAACTCCACTCCTCTTATCTCACAAAAACGACACATAAGCTAACTTGACAGCTTCAGACCTGCACTCTGATCCAAAAGTCCGGCTGGCCCTTGGTTGATTCAGGCCTCTCATCAAATAGCACAGCAACACTGCTGATTTCGCTGACCAATATTTTTTAGGAAGTTGAAAGCTCCTAAGAACACTTAGATCCCTGTTTTTGATATAAACAATTATCCATGCAATGGTAAAAAGGTGAAAAATGAATTGTTCCCTTACCATAAAAGATGGCCTACGTTTTAACCTTTTAGTTTAATTTAGAAAGGAAATAAAAGTTCTATTACTTAATGGACCCTCCAAGCAGTCTTGTGAAACAAGCCTGTGCATTTGTCAAAACAAACTATTGTCAGTACTTCAAACATTCTAATTCAAATAGCACAGATAATGTAAACTCACTTTAATCTTCTTGAAAATGCCTGCAAAAAAGGAAAGAAAAAATAAAAATCTTTTGCTCTTGATGTTACATTTTATAGGTGATCCTTTGCTTCTCTGCTGATTAAAGGGCTGACTCTGTTTCTTTGTTGGTTTAACGAGGATTCTTTTAAATGTCACTGTCATTTATGGAGAAGATGCCCCAGGAAGAGCCCTGAGAAGGCGTTACCTCACAGGCCTGAAAGGTCAGTCCGACGTGGTAGCCCTCCGACACCGTTATCTTCCACACACATTCTTTCATGGGGCGGTAGTCATCAGGGTAATTAGGAGACTGAATCTGTCCTTCATTTTTACGTATCTCACCTCCACAGATGGCTGAAGAAAGCAAAAATAAACATATGAATTAGCCTAGACATGCCATTTTATTTTCATTTTCTTCTAAGGTAAAATTTAAGTTCAGTTCCTGTAGCTGAGTACATACATAAAGAACAGCTTATACAATTCAAAGTTGGTTGGTTGCACTGTTGTACATATTTAGGTAGCACAAAACAAACAAATAAAAAAACCTAGTCAGCTAACTGCAAATATTAGATAATAATGAAAATATAGTTTTAAATCACACCTTAACAAAGTTGGGTTTTTTTTTTTAACTTTTAAAACCCTTCCATGATTTTGTAAACTTATTATCTGTGAGTTTGTTTGGTGATTCCCTGAATTGCTTCACTTGGTCTTGAGATGGCAAGTAAAACAGCTCATCAGAAGAGAGCATCGCCCTAAGCAGAATTCACTGGGTCTCTGGCAGTGAGCTAGTCGCATGCTCAGCATCTGTGCCTCCCTCTAAATAATCCCTTCACTGTCATGCAGTCAATCTTTAAAACAAAATGTGTCTGTTTACTTAAAAGTTTAAGGGAAGCAGAAATCTTCTGTCTTTGAAATTATCTAAACTCCTGTAGTAGAAAGGGTCTCCTCTACCCTCAGCCAGGCAAGAAAGGAGCTGGTTTTAAAGCCAGGAAGCACCAGGCAGTTTATTGTTTTAGAGAAGCACAGAACAAAGCATTTAATAGCTTCTTCCTTGAATGCTGACTCTCTTGTTTAGACAAAGCACTTTCCAAGAGCGTGCACAATGACTTTCTGTGCAGTTTCCTATAATAGAGTATTTCAGAAGTACAAGGACCAAACAGACACAAAATCAGTACAAAGAAAATTATAATTTTTTCATAACATTTTATTTTGCTTATCATTCCCAATCTGGACTTGACCCCCTGGGCACAAGTGATCCTCCTACCTCAGTTTCCCAAGTAACTGGGATTTAAGATGCACATCACCACCAGGCTCATAAAATTTTAACACTATCACAAAGTGAACAATGAAAGGTTAAGAATTCTTGTGCCATTTGTTTTTTCCCCACGCATCCTGAGCCCCTTTAGATGTTACCGCATCACTGATGCCAGAACATAGGTTGTTATGCAATTTACACTTACTAAGTATTTTTACTCAAACCATCCTATGAATATTATAATATAGGTTTAGACAATTTCACAGTTTTAAAATACAATTACAATATCATTGTAATAAAATTGAAAAAAGCCAGGCTCAGTGGCTCAGCCTGTAATCCCGCGCTTTGGGAGGCCGAGGTGAGTGGATTGCCTGAGCCCGCGGGTTTGAGACCCACCTGGGCAACTTGGCAAGACCTCATCTCTACAATAAATTAAAAATGAGCAGGGTGTGGTAGCACGCACCTGTAGTTCCAGCTACTTGGAAGGCTGAGTAGAAGGACCGCCGGAGCCCAGCAGATGGAGGCTGCGGTGGCTGGGAGCGGCCACGGCACTCCAGTCTGAGCAATAGAGTGAGACTCCAACTCAAAAAAAAAATTGAAAAAAAAGGACATTTCTGTTAAAAGAACAAAGATAACTACTTTCTGAAATCCAATGTGACTTGCCTTCATAGACAGCTGCGAAGCCTTTTCCTACCCAGTTACTGCTACTACGAAACTCAATCCACATTCTGCTGTCTGTAGAGATGAGGACATCAGGCACTCTGTCCCCACAGAATCTACCTAAAAGAAAGGAAGAATAAAGAGAGATCCCCAAATGTGACTCTATGCTCTAATTGCTTTTCACGCTAGCTACAAGCAATCTATATAAGCATGGATTTGGATCATATTCCTAACCCAAGTGACTAGAGCTGAATGTTTGCTTAACAACGGTAGGCAAATACAAGAATCTCTTCATATCTATTTATAAAAGATTTGGCCATCAGCCTCAGATTAACTGTCCTGTGTTAGTATCATTACCATATGCAGAAGTAAGATGATTAGCTCAAACATATGTTTGTAAACAGTCACAGAACGCATTAAGATGGGGAATATTACTCTATGGGGAACAGTAAAAGGTACAAGTCATCCTGAAAAGCTGGTTTCAAATCATCAATGTGGTCACTAGCAGGGTAGTGAAGCAGTTATGTCACAACCTTCCACAAGTGTCTGTTGCTTATGGTGTGTATGCCTCTATGTGCTAATCTTTCACATGATGACAACATGGTTAAACATGACAAAGCACATGAGCTAATCCTACAAACATTCCACTGTTATCCATTTCTATGGGCCCTGGGGGCAATGGCACGCACAGTTTCGGTGTATGAAAATGGTGGCCAACTTGCATAAAGCAAATTCATACCAAAAACTAACTGGGAAAATATATCTTTTCCTAACTGGAAAGTAACTTAGAGTCATGCAGCACAGAGCAGAGATTCTTAAGCTGTGGTGTGCCTCTGAATTTCCAGGAAACCATTAAAATCCAGTCTCCAATTCAGAGGGTATGAAGTGGAAACTGAGTTTCTACAATTCTAATAACTTCCCAGGAGAGTCTGATGCTTTCAGTCTTAGGGCTACACTTTTCAGAACAAGGTCTTATGAGTAATAATGGGAAAAGCTTTTCATGTAAAAATGTGATCACACGGTGTCACTCTGGTGGGCATGTCGGCTGATGGTGCGTTAAGAGAAAGTGTTTCTTAAGCATTCATTGTTAGATTTGATTTTCCAGCATGAGTTTTAAAAAATGCTTTCTGTAGACTGCATGTCTATATGTAACAGGTTGCTTTATCTAGGCTAAAAAACTAAATGTGGAAGACAATGTTTTCCTCAGCCTGATTTGTCACATTAGTTTCATTCTTTATTTTTCCTTATTTTAAAACATGTCTATAGATATTTTTGATTTACTAAGGCTGCTGTCACTTTTAATACAATTCAGCAGGTTTTAAATGTTAAGAAAAGAGAGCCAAACAGTCCATCAACACGACTGAGCAAAGTTACTTCTGAAACTAAAAAAAAGTCACAATCTCAGAAAAAGATCAGCACAGAGTAGCTGCTGACATGCTCACAGCAGGTCTCATCTCTAAGTAGAATAGAGAGCCACAGTAAACCCTCATGCAAGTTAATATTGTAATCTGTGGTTAAACGTCAACAGCAGACTTTCATGGTCACCAAATCTGAGCCACGACTTATGACACAAACACAAATGCCTCTTCTCAGTCAGAAAAATCTCTCTGAGAAGCAAAGCTATGTAGCCTACAGTAAAAGCTAATACGCCTGGCATAAGAAGCCAGCTGTCAAACACAGACCTCACCAATCACACTCTAATGCCTTAGACACAACAAAAAAACATACATACATGCAATTTATTTGCTTTTAAAATCAAGACTATGATTCTTTAATTGAAAGTACAGAAACATTGTGAGGAGTAGACATAATAAGCAGATAAGCCTAACACTTGAGAAAGTTATTATTGGTCATTATGTTTTCAGGTCCAAGTATTCACCTCATAATTTCAGTTAGCTGAAGTCAATTAACCAGTCAGTCTGTTTATCAATCTATCTGTCTTTGAGTATTTTTGGTGTAGTTGAAGAGTATAATCAAAATGAAAATAACATTGGTCACACACATTTTTAACTCTAAGTAGATTCTTGGAAGAAGCAGTGTCTTAGAACAGGGCAGAACGTATGCATAACCCCACAGGAGATACAGAATCTCTTACCAAGGAGAGGTGACTTTCTCCAGTACCCATCTCTTACTTCAATATAGTCATACCAGCACAAGCTGCTCTTGTAGAGGTCCATCGTGGTAAAATTTAAAACAATCTGCAAAATGGAGGAAAACAACTCACAGAGTAAAAATGATTGTAGCTACAGAGTGCGGTGATTCCAGGAGGTGAGGAGCCCAAGGCTGCGGTGAAATGCATTCACAGCTCATGCTTTTATCTATATTAGTATCACCCAATTATCTTTTCTTAGCAAACACTTGGAAACTCGGTTTTCTTATTCTCTTCAGTGTTTAACAATGTCAACAGAAACACAATGTTAATCACTGAACAAACCAGACATTTTTAGCAATTAACCCAGAGTTTCTGTAAAGTTAATTTGAACAACTGCACAACCAAGAGTAATCTTTACTCAAATAGTTTATTTTGCATTTTTCTAAGATAAAAATGACTTGAATGAACCATGAAGAATTTCAATTTTTCCATGAATGCCTTTTTTCAGTAGTTTACTTAAAAGGTGACCAGTCAGACATCCATAATACTACAAATAACCACTATGTGCCAAGTTCCCAGAACAAAATATCACTGCATGTGTTGAAATATTTTAAGTACTACCCTAGAATCAGATTTATCCATCTAATGATAATCACAGGCAGATGTCACCATGCTTCTTTAGCTCCAAGGATATATATCTCAAGACTTTTCAAGTTAGGATATTTTTGTGCATGACCCTTACTCTGTTTTGGAATAATGCTGTTTATCTAAAGATAATTCAAGAATAATGCTAGGAAAGACAACTTTCTCACTGCTTTATAAAAGAACTCTACTTTTCAAGTAATTAATCTTTTTCTACTTGATTACACCAAATAGTTGATGCCAACTAACATGAGAATTGCACTTATTTGATGCAGTGAAATTCATTTAGAATTTCTTTTTTTCAGAAACTCATTCTAATTCTATTCTGCCTAAAACATCTGAGATGCATAAGGATCATAGTGATGGACTTCGGTCAAAACCAGAGAGAACCAAATTATGAGAATTTGAAATGCTCGCACTATAAAACTATTGTTTGTAACTATTTAAAAAAATCCTTTTGTGACAATACAAAAAGCTGAATGTGAGAGAACTCTCAAACAAGGTAAGAGGGGAGGGAGGGAGGTACAGAGGGAGGGAGGGAGGAATAAGGGAAATATAAAATACAGTCAACCAATCCTGAATCCATATTCCATAAAAGTACTAGCAATTCTGTGAGAAAACATATAGTTTTCCCCTTCTTGAGCACCATATTTAATGAAAGGTAAGCATTGATTATGGCAAGTCAATGCTAAAATAGTTTACTTCTTCCCCACATGAAGATACAGTCCAACTGGAAACATTTTGCATGGCATCTTATATCTAGGTATTGCAGTGATCACTTATGAAAATGTACACCAAAGTGGGTTTTAAATGTTCATATAGATTAACATGTACTTTCCTGATTACAAAAAGATGAAATCTAGCAAGGATTAGAGAATAGAGATAAACTGTCTTTTTTTTAATATAACATAACAAGTTATGGAATCATTTGTTTTATGTTTGTTTGTTTGTTTGTTTGTTTGTTTTGAGTTGGAGTCTCGCTCTGTCGCCCAGACTGGAGTGCAGTGGCCGCTCCCAACCAACGCAGCCTTGACCTGCTGGGCTCCAGCGATCCTTCCGCCTCAGTCTTCCAAGTAGCCAGAATTACAGGTGCGCGCTACCACGCCCGGTTAATTTTTTTATTTTTTTGTAGAGATGAGATCTCGCCTGCCCAGGCGGGTCTCGAACCCGTGGGCTCAGGCAATCCACTCACCTCAGCCTCCCAAAGGCACAGGATTACACCGAGCCCGGCTTCATTTGTTTTTTTAACAGAATGATTCATTTATTTTTGGTCTTTGTTTGAAGTTTTTTCTCTTGATTCTTCTTTACCTTCACCAAAATGTAATGTTCCAAACATTTTCAAAAAATGTTGACAAAAATTTTCAAAAAATCCAAGAGCAAAGCACTGATCATTCTTTTTCTTCAATAATCCTCAACACTTGATTATCAAAATGTTTAGTATCTAAATTATTTTTATGAAGTTCCCAAAACATTTTCTTCTCCACCTCTGTGTACCAACACAACATTAGTTTATACTTATGATGTCACTGGAAAATAATTTCTGGCTTTCCCCCCAAATTTGCATTTACTTTAAGTCTGCAATAAATGGGGCTACTACCACTGCCTGATATTCTGTTTCATTCTGCAATTACATTTTCTCACCTGCAACCACCACATTTCAACTTTATTTGATCATATAAGAACTTGTTTATCATACCAGAGACAACAAAAGTAGAATCTAGACACAGAGACCCTGAGGCTCATTTGTGGCTTTCCTCTCGGATTTGAAGGGGAGCTTTATGACGGTGTGCAAACACTTTCAACCTACTCCTCAATGAGGAAAAATTAGCTAAATTAGAATTATGTCTATTACCAAATTTCATACAAAATTGAAAATAATGCAGTTGGATCACTAACAATAATTAATATTTGAAGTCTTGAAACACACACACACGTGCACGCACACCACGCACACACACACACACAGAAGGTGGTAACTCTAAGCAGAAACTTTTTCTATCTTGTTTCTAATCTTCTAGTTTAAATGCCAAACACGATGGAAGAGCATAACTTGCCCGACATTAATATAAAACACAGGGTCTTTTAGAAGTAGAAAATGTAATAAAGATAGGTTTTCAAAAATCAAATCTTAGAACTCTGACTATAGAAGTAAAATTCTGGCCTTTGACTAAGGTTGCTAGCAGAATCCATACTTGAATTTCAAATCAAAAGCACTTGGAAAATATTTGATATTTTATGTAAACATATCACATCTTTTCCCAAAGAATAATAAAATGAAAACTACATAATACAATTATATAAATATTCTATTTTTGATGGTAAATTTGAGTCACAACTTTAAATTAATCACAGCTCCCCTGGAACATGAGATTGAGGGAACACATCTCCCATTTCCTGTGATCCCTCAGGAGTACAAGCTGCAACATTAAACTGATGCGGCACTGCCCAGTTGGCTTATTAAAGACTATTCATTAACAGTGCTGCAGGGGGAAATCCTTGAGGAAAGGCAGACCAGTAGTTCCAGGGACTGGATGTCTGCGATCTCCAGAGAAAGATACAATCAGTGAACGCTTTTCAGCACACTTATGAGACTACTCAAGACCTGAACAAATTCCGTGAGCTCCATAATAAGGTCAGTGAGAAGAACACTTGTACCTTACAGAGTCGAGGAGAGAGAGGTACAACCTTGCCAAATAGACTGATACTGTTAAATAGCTCTTTAGAGAGAGACTTCAGAATTAAAAGCAGTAAGATAAAACAGATGCTGAAAGAAACCATCAAGAGAGCAGGGAGACAGTCCACAAAATGGGAAAAAATATTTGCCAACTCTATATCTGACAAAAGCCAAACATCTAGGATCCATAAGGAGCTCAAACACACCAAAAGGGCAAAAACAAACAGTCCCATTAAAAAGTGAGCAAAAGACGTGAATCGTCATTTCTCAAAAGAAGATACATGGGCAGCCAACAGACACATAAAAAAGTGCTCAGTTTCACTCATCATCAGAAAAATGCAAATCAAAACCACATTGAGATACCACCTAATCTCAGTAAGAATGGCCATCATTAATAAAACAAACAGCAACAGATGCTGGCAAGGATGCAGAGAGAAAAGAATGCTTCTACATTGCTGGTGGGAATGCAGACTAGTGCAACTTCTTTGGAGGATAGAGTGGCGATTTCTGAAAGAAGTAGAAATTGACCTTCTATATGAACCAGCAATCCCCCTATTGGTAATATACCCAGAGGAACTCAAAGCATTCTACAAAAAAAGATACCTGCACACGTATGTTTGTTGCAGCTCTATTCACAATGGCAAAAACGTGGAACCAACCATGCTGCCCATCGAAGCTGGATTTAAAAAATGTGGTACATATACACAATGGAATACTATGCAGCCATAAACAAGGACAAACCTATGGACTTCACAACAACTTGAATGGATTCAGAGTAGATCTTACTCAGTGATTCATCACAGAAACAAAGAAGAGAGTACCATATATTCTCACTCACATGGGAACCTTGAACAATTATCATAATTCTATAAGAAAGGGATTGGCAGTAGTAGAAAACTGCCAGAGGAGGAGGTGTGGGATTTGCAGTTGAGGGAAACTGCTAGGGGAGGGAGGAGCACACCTCATCAACAAGGTTACCTGTATAATGCACATTTGTATATCTAACCCTGAATTGGATCCCACATCTTTAAAATAAATTTTTTTTTCAAAAGATGCTGTGTGCAAGCCAGAAGCTGAGGCAAGTCTATATATAAGACTACAGTCTCAAGTGGCTATAGTTTTGTTCTCAGAAACAAGGCACAGAGAGTAGCAACCCTATGGCCCCTGGGCCAAATCTTGCCAACAGCCTGTTTCTTAAATAAAATCCTATTGAAACCATTCTGTTACTGTATTGTGGATGCTTCAGCACGACAATTGATCTTAAGGTTGTATTCACATCTGAAATTGTTGTTTTGTATATTTATGTAAAATTAATTATATACATATATACATAAATTTTCCTACACCAAGGAGCTATTCTTGATTGGTTCTAGCTTTAGTTGCTACTCCACCTAAATGTTCTGAGGTTGAAGAAATCATTTCACTGTAAATCGGAAGTCACCATACCAGGATAATCTCACCAGAATTAAGTCACAAGAATTCAGTTGGATGATATGTAAGAAAACACTCAGGTAATCCTAAATTCCTTGCTGTTGTGTTCTGACAAAGCACTCCAATTTTGGCATTCCTCCCTTCCCACAAGGTGTACATAACTCTACCTGGATTCCATTTCTCCCTTTCCTGTACCTGGAAACTCTTCACATCTCTTAAAGATTATATCAAATGCTCCCATCTCTTGAGTCATGCTCAAACCTCCCCACAAAATTTCAGCTTTCTTAAAATCTGTAACAAGTTGTATCTTTTTTCCTCGGTTATTTTTCAGCTTGGCCATTATATTATTGGGATATACA